TCACTGCCTTGGTTACTTGGATTAGGATTATAATTTTGGTAAAATGTTGTTGTCAATGTATTTGGTCATGAGACGCAACATGCAGCAGGAGATTGTTCATGGCTGATATGACGACGAGAGCTTGGGGGTTGACTTTGGGATTGGTTGACGTGTCGTGGTTGGGGGTGCGGGTTAGGTTTTGGGCTGCAGTTGGAGTTCGTGTTGGGCTTGAGAAGTTGGGGTTAGATCTGGAGTTGGGGTTCGGGTTAGGATTACAGTTCGGATAAAGATGGGGAATTAGTGGAGTGGTGCGGACGAGGGTTCGTCTTTCATAGATGCGTGGGGGTTGGCTTCAGGGTTCGATGTCGGGGTGGGGGCTCGAGTCAGGAGCGAGAGGCAGGGAGGGAGGGTGGCCCCCGCACGTTCCGTGGGTAACGCAGAAGGAGCCGAGTGCGCCCCGCATGCACGGCGGGACAAAATGTTCGCCGCCAGCGCTGAGCCATTCCCACTTGTTCCACGTTTGCGAATGAATCATCGCAGCAGCCCCTCGCTCCGGCCCAGCCCAGCAGGACCCCCGCCCTCTCCACAGCGCAATAAAACATTTTTTTTTAAGAACCTCGCTCTCGCTCCACGATAATTCCCGCTCCGAGCGCGGAAAAGCTCCCCGACACGGCCATTTGACGTCAAAGCGACGCGCGCGATGATGGAGGCAAAAATAATTCCGAGGCCGCTCTTCAAACCCCCATTTCTAAAACGCTGCTTGGCGGAGAGGGGTGGCAAACGAATGGACGATAATGAAGTGGCTTTCCTCGAGGCCGTTTCGCTGCCCTCGGCGGAGTCCCCAGCCACGGATTGTGTCTCTCCGCGGAGGCTTCGGGCGCGGTGCCTCGCGCGAGAGACGTGAACCCGCGCCCGATAATGAAGCCCCTGGAGCCCAGGGCAGGCGCGGCAATTAGCGGGGATTACTGATTGGCTTGACAACTGGGCGGGCGGGTGGGCGGGTGGGCAGGCGGCGGTCCCAGCCAGTCGGGGTCTGGCTGTGGAGCCCAGCTGGTTGTTTGGTAGCGCCGGGGGAGGGAGGGCAGAGGGGTACCCAGCTGGGCCCTGCCCGCCACAGCGTGGACTGACGAGGCGGTGCTGCAGCAGTGGAGTCTCGTCCCGTGCGGAGTTGTGGTGAGGGTGAGGCCCGTCACACCGCGTGGCGTTTCTCCGGGCGCTCCGGGTTCCTCCCACGTGACAAACACGCGTTCATTGATCGGCCAAACCTCCTCCCAATGCAGGATCCTCGAGAAAAAAACTATCTTGAGACTTGGTTTTAGACTCTCTTGGGTTTACAAATGAGCATAGTTATTATATTATTATACAAGTACAAGATACAATCTGTTTGTTTGGGGAAGGAGCCGGTGTTGATTCTCAAATAGTAACAGGAGAGGAAGTAAGGAGGAGGCGAGGCGGACACCGATAAACTCCATGAGTGTGATGAGACTAGGAGCACGCTCCGGAGGTCGCGGTGCCCCGCAGCCGTGGCATCTGGCAAAGGGAAGGCGGCGAGGGCGAGGTGTGGCAGCAACGACAAACGACTTTGGCCGTGACGACCCCTTGGTCTGACCCCTGGCTGGAGGCGCGCGTGCTGAGAACGCGGAAGGAGGGATCACGAACGCGGCTTCGTTTCCTCTTGAGGAGCGCGGCCCCGCCTGTGAACGTCGCCTCGTCGGACATCCGGCGAACGACCTCTGGCCATGCAGGCTGCAGAGGCCGGCCAAACATAATAAACACACGGATTGGCTTGCATGCTGACATACCTCGAGGTTTACTGGCAGGTAAGTTGACAATAAAGACAAGTACGCAGCCTTTTAGGCGTTTAAGACCTAGCAGGTGCTGTTAGCGAGCACCTATTATGGCCGGAACGGTAGCGCACGAGGGGGCAGTGTGACCGGATCCATGCCCGACCGCCTTTGTCTCCCGAGTGGCGATGCTTTCACATCGCACAGGTACTCATTTAAGGCTGAGTCGACCGAGGGGAGGCCAAGATCTGGTTCCGTTATCGTCACTGGTGTTGGCCGTGAACGGGAATCGAGGCGCACGCGCGCACAGAGAAGCAGGCACGCACGCGCGCGGGATGAGTGCGATTATCACGCGGAGTGGCGTGCGCCCAGGGAGAGGCGAGGAGGGATGAGACCCATTTATTAGGAGGAGAGGTGCGGGAGGTCGGAGACGGAGAGTGCTTGATGGGGTTTGCTCTCAGGATTTTTCAAATTAAATTTCTCAAGCGCGCCATCCTTTAACCAAGCCACTCTGGACTCCCAGCGCGGCACGCGTGGGGGGGCAGGTAGGGTTTGAGGGGACTGGAGGGGGACTGAGCCCCCCCCCCCCGATCTAGAATCTTCACTTCAAAATTAATTGCCTGCTCAAACGAGCATTGGGAGGGCGTTCATCTCCTTCTTACAGCTCTGAGCCGGCGGTGGAAATTCCACACGCCTATGGTGGGGACGAGTCTATCCCCAGGACAACCACTGTCAGACTCCCCTCACAAAACGTGGAGGGATCATGGTCTGCATCAACCACAAACCGGGATTTGAACTCGCAGCATCGACTGCTTGTTGTGTTTGTTTTGTAGGGTGCGAAAGAAGTTCAACATTTTTCAGTACATACATCCGTTGTGAAGTGGCGATTCGCAGCCTTGATCCGTTTACAGCGGGGGGTGCGAGCCACGGGCAGAAGGCTCCGACAGACGAATGCGGAGCGCGTCCGTTCCTCGCCCTGCCCCCGTGTCTAACCTTGGTCTCAGGTTTGCTGCACGCTGGAGTCACTGTGGCGGCGTGCGCCCCGTGAGTGTTGTGTTTTGCCATCTCCTCCTTGTGAACAAGTCGACAACGAAGGTCACAACTTAGAAGGGTGGCGGCACGGACAACCCCACAGAGAGAATCTCACATTGGTGGGGGGCCACGTGAAGGCGGTGGGAGCGGGGGGGGGGGGGGCACTGCGATGTTGCGAACGCTTCCTTTCCCATGCGCATGTTTTGAGAAGGCTCAACGTGGACTTGGCTGCTGGGAGATTGCCTCGTTAGCGGCAGCCACAACAAAATAGAGAGGCACCCCATGCAGGGCCCCGAGTGACCATTGCAGAAATGACACGAGACAGCCGTAATTGGTAACGCTAAGCCCAAGGAATGCGTTTTTACCAACACTCACCCCCCTCCCGCCACTCGCCCGTTTTAAATAAGCAATGAAAGCAATAATCCCCACAATTATAAAGATGGTGAGAAATATAATGAGCCGCAATGTGTTTCCAGCGAGGCCGGGCGCGCGGTGCAGCCCCCGGCGTCCGCAGCCGTCAGGCGGCGAGCTCGCACGTGGGCGCTGGCCCAGCTGCTCGTTGTAATTAAGGGGGGGGCGGCGGTAATTGGGACTGCCAATTAAAGATGAGTTATTTATTTATTTGTGGCACACACGCATGTTCGTTCGTCCGTGTGTCAATCCGCTTGTCCTGGTCGCGGTGGCAGCGTGTTGAGTCGTGGCGGTCCACACTTCCCTCTGCCTGGCGACGGACTCGAGCTCTTCCTGGGGAATTCCCCGGGCGTTCCAGGGCCTGGGAATGCCGCTTCGTGTTTCGGGCCTGCGTGCAGCAACTGCGTGGAACGAAAAGTGGAAAGAGTACTTCGCCGCCAGACGTGCTCTGAAAGCAGGGTCACGGACGGGGTGCGGGGGGGGGTCACGTAGAGTAGAAGGCATCGCTACCACTTTGTATTGAGCGACATTTGATGGACGGTCTTTTTGTTATTTTATTGAGATTCCAAGTCTAGCAACACGAACAATTTCATTTTGTACCCTCGGTAAATGCTGGGGTTTTTAGTATACTTTTAAAACGGTTGGCGTCGGCATCCACGGAAACCTTCTCATTCATCGTGCGAGCAATTCCCTTGGGGCACGGGGACTCTTCAAGTCAATTTGTTTCACCGGGCGAGAACTCGAGAGGCCGGGGGTGGTCTCATTTGCAAAGTGACCTGGGTCGTGCAGAGACAGAGAGAGAGAGCTGGGTGACAGACACCGGCGGACCGCTCCCCATCGACCCAAACGAATACAAATCCGCTCACATCCTCTTTGTGATATGGCACTGGCAGCGGTGCATAGGCACACAGCAAAAAACTCAACGCGTTACTCGAACAACACCGACCGGAAGGAGAGAAAAAATACATGTGATGACGTTTTGGACAACGACCCTTCTCAATGGAAATGTTGTTTTGGCTACGTCGGAGCTTAATGGGCTATCGCCACAAACGCACGCTGCTCCAGCACGCGATTCGCGAGCGAGTGCGACGGGCGATTTCCACCTTGCCGCCTTTCCAGATTAGGCGTATCCGGAGATTGTGGAGAAGCCGAGGGCACAAAGCCCTCTCGCCGGCCCATTAAGGGCCCCGCTACCCGGCGGCACGCCCCATGGCTTCCGCACGCGCGCACAGACCGCGGGGCGGTGCGCCAACCCTCGGCCGACCCTCGCAGGCAGCGGAGGCTGCAGGAGAACTCACGCCGGCCCCGCTCGCACGCAGCACCGGAGAGGAGGAGGGGGTGTGAGTTCGCTTCTGTTGAGTAGCAGGCCCGTGCTGAATCCTCCATGCCATGGGCATGAGAGCAATCGTAGTCGAGGCGGATGAGAGGGCAAGTAGGACCCATCCTAGAAACTCAACACATATTTCCGCGTCTCTGAATGTACTTCTTGAAATCAATTTGTGCGTTATAAATGTAATTTTGCATTAATATGTGGTGGTGTGACGTATCAGGCCACGGCCCCTGACAAATGCGAGATTTTTAGGAGGGTCCTGCCTGGCATATCTGCACAATGTCTTTGTTGTCATTACATCTGTTTTAAGATGGGACAGAAACAGGGGTAGCCGGTGTTCACTGTGTTTGGCGCATGGAGGACATTCCAAAATTCACGTGATGGGAACCAGTCCTGTTCAAAGGAGATGTACACTCACCGGGTGAAGATTGTTAAACGTATTCTTTACAACAACAAAGACGTGAAGCAGTGGATAAGTAAGTTTAAAAAAAAAACTTTATTTCACCTTTTCCAATTTCTGCATTTTTGATTGCCTCACTGGACCAAGAAAACAACTGAGAGGAATGAAAGCGATTAAAGTGTGTGTGTGTACATGTGAATGTGTGTACGTGAGATCGTGGTACCCGTGTGCAAGCTTAGGGTGTTGTGTGTGTCCTGGTAACCGCGGAGAGCAGTGGCGCAGCAGTTAGCGCATTGCGTTACGAAACTGGCGACGCGAGTTCGATTCCCATTCACGGCCGACATCAGTGACAAATATCTGAACCAGTCCTGGGCCTCTGTTAGGTCGACTCAGTCTCAAATGAGTGCCTGGTACGACGAGTAAACATCGCCACTGGGGAGACAAAGGCGGTCGGGCGTGGTGCTGGTCACTCACCCCCCTCGTGTGCCGTGCCGGCCTTCATTAGTGCTCGCGAACAGCACTTGCCCCAACAGTCTGATAAGGCTATACGGGGGATCTTTGTATTTGTGTGTGTTTAACCTTGGTACCGTACACAAAGCTGGGTGGTGTGCGTGCGATTGTGTGCGCGCGTGTGTCACCGACACACCCCGCGTAGATTTGAACGCCTATCCCAGCAACGACCGTCAAGATTGGACCCGACCCAGCCGTTAACCCGGCCGCGTTACCGGCCTCCGTGTTCGAGTGGAGTAATCCTGTAAGCGGCATTACGCGCACCCAGAAAATCACCGCTTCGTATCAAAACCGTGTCCCCTTTAAGACATTGGAGTGATGGGTGTACGCCTGGAATGTAAGTATCCGACATTCATGGGTGCAAGATGATAAACAATAAAAAAAAAACTAGTTTTTTTTATACCATTGTAAATATCGAACGTCTCGAATTGTTTGCAAGAAACAGCTTTCAAAACTGTAAAGTACCCAATTTTCTGTAAGGGGGGAAAACAAAGAGACCAATAAATAATAATAATAAGAGATGACGGAGTAACGACGGCGATGCCGAGCGCAGCGGCGAGATATTGCAAGAACGGTGGACGATGTGAGTGGTGGACGATGTGAGTGGTGGACGATGTGAGTGGTGGACGATGTGAGTGGTGGACGATGTGAATGGTGGACGATGTAAGTGGTAGAAGATGTGAGTGATGGCCGATGTGAGCGGTGGACGATGTGAGTGGTGGACGATCCGAGTGGTGGACAATCCAAATGGTGGACAATCTGAGCGAGCGATGGTCAGAGCCACCCTCAGTTAAAGCAGTCGTCGTCGTTTTGACATCTCCTTCACCTCGTGTGACCCCCCGGGCCCCCCCCACTCCCCCCTTCGGAACAACGATAACAGAACCAAAAGCACAACTTTTTCTAAAATGTTCTTAAATAACAATTAAAAAATAATTATCTTCTGTTTTGTTTTCAAAAGTAGATATATCATAAACGGACGCGAAACAAACGTGTTCCTCTGCAGGCTCCCAAACAGAACAAAAACAGTCAAAGCAAAGCCACGTGCGCAGAGAGCTCCACTTTCATCCTGCTGACTACAAACTTCACAGTGCCTTGAGCAGGACTCGAGGGTCTCTGCTGCCAGGTGTTATTTGTTGTATTCCCTTTCTCCTGCTAACATCGCCCCTCTTTTCTTTTCCTGCCTTTGCTTAAATACAGTAAAACATACCCACTCCCGCGGCGCGGTCAACTCGTCGATCGCGCCGTGCCTGGCAGAAAATGCACCTTGCTCTGTAAACCCAGGACCGACCTCGACCCCCGACCCACAGAGGTCGCCCCCACCCCGCTCACCACGCGACCATTTGGAGGCGAGTGCCATCACCGTGCCCCCACCCCTGCCCCCCCCCCCACCACGGAGCAGTCGCCCCGTCCACCGGTGATCGTGGGCGGATTTATTTTGTGTTGAACAAAGAGTTCAATTCGTGGTCTAAAAACTTCTAGCATGTGCCGGCTGGCGGCGACAGTTCTCTGTGTGGGGGGGGGGGGGGGGGGGGTCGCGCGCCGTCCAGCGTCGCATCCCGACGTTCGCTCCACGCGCTGCGAGATTCTTCGGGAAACCGAACAAAGCTGCTGCCACGCGTGGAGCGAAACGTCGGACGTCGCCCCAGAGCACGCGCGCGCTTCGACCCGAAGCCACGCTGAAGAGGAATCGAACTACCGCGGCTTCTTCTCCACGTCTCTGGTGGAACTCCCAGAAGCTCCGTTTCGTCCGCACCTCTTGGGAGTGAGCGAGGTGTCGGCCTGCAGTGGCGTGGTGGTGGTGGTGGTGGGGGGGGGGGGGCGAGAACGTGCACAGCGCGTTCCGCTCGGGGCGTAAAACAACATCTCGGACGATTCCGTGTCGACGACACAAATGACGCACGAGTACACCTCGTCTAATAAGGCATCGGCGATGCGCCTCGCGGGCCGCGCCCACCGTCCGCGTGTCGCCTTGTTCGCCGCCTCCACCCTTGGGCAGCGCCTCCGTTCCGAACCGAGCGGCAGTGCGATCATCGCGACGTGGGGCCGGACGAGCGCGTGCGCGCCCTCGTGAGCGCGAGCCGCGTGCCCCACGCGCGCACGGTCTCGGAGCGGCGGTTAGCGCACCAAGCTGCGAGCCCGGTGGCCAGAGTTCAATTCGTAGTCACGGCTAAGTGACAACTAAACCGGTCCTAAACACCCCTCGACCACTTTACCAACCCCCACTGACCGGCTTTGTGGTTGTGAGTAGGTAGGTGTGTGTGTGCCAGCCGTGTACTAAAGTACACACGCACGCTTGTGTGGCTAAATGACATTGTGACGCCGTGACAAACGTCAAATGGGTCATTCAGCGTCAATTCTCAGTGCGCCGGAGAGTTCGTTACGCGACGCGGTTTCTGTGATGCGATATTTCACGGCGCCGCCGGCTCGCGCTCTGCCGCATCTGTTGAGGGCAGCAGTGCCCCCCCCCTCCAGCGAGCCGGACTGCCTGGTGCTTGCGGCCTTAGAAAGGCATTTCATGCTCTGCGAGATCACACGTTTTGTTGCAAAACAATCGATTGGTTCTCCGCCACTGCTCGCCCTGCGCTTTAGTCCACATCTGGGCCCAGCGGCTCTCAGTTGTAGCATCCGGAGGCAACCCGGTCTCATCGGTGGTGACAGAGGCCACCGCCAGATGTGAAACTCAGCCCAACAGATTTGCCTTGTTTAATAAATACTTTGATTAGGAAGGCCCATTGAGTGTGACTTAGATTTGGCAACAGAATAACCCCCCCCCACTCCACACCATCCTTGCCCACCCCCCTCCCCGCTCCACACCATCCTTGCCCCCGCCCCTCGTTTGTTTAGTTTGTGTTGAGAATGCGTGTGGAATATCACAATTATTACTCTCACATTATCACAAGTATTGCTCCTGCCCGTAGCAGTATAACAGAGCCTGCTGTTTAAATTCCGTACCGTGTTCGCGGGGCCTGTAACGATTCATAGGCTCGGCTGCATTCGTCGGCCGTTAGAAAGTCAAATCGGTTTTTTAGACTCGATAAATATAGATGCGCTTAATCGCGGGCGTTCGTGTCGATCACTCCCAACTCGTGTGTCGTGTCACACGACCGCTGGCGACTTGGCTTCGTCCCGTTGTGGATACCAGAAGCATCACAAGGGGGAGAGGAAAAAAAGAGAAATTTGTGAATCGAATAATGGTGAGGAATGAGTCCGATCGCGGAGTTGGCGATGAGTCGTTACATCCCGAGTCTTCGCTGTAGTGCCACTCGCTCCTCCCGTGTGAGCCCTCTGCCCCCCCCCATCCTTCCTTTGCCCCCCATCCGACCCAAAACAATGACCCCGAGGCAGCGGTGCCCAGCCACGGTGTCGCTCGCTTGTGGCGGGAGCTCGAGTCGGAGAGGCAAACTCCAAAAAATAATTCGCAATTATTTTCCTTCCTTCTAAAAACCATTGCTTTATAAGTGGTTTTGTAACGCACTGTTAACTTATGGAGGCTCCGTCCCCCAAGACACTTTTATTCACAGACGTCTGAGGATGGAGGCAAAAAGAACAAAACCTAAGCACAACAAGAGTTTCTGACTTACCATAGAACTACTAAAACGTCAATAAAATTACGGAATGAAGTAAGCCTTTTTAACTGGATGCTGGACCTTGTGTGCAGTTCCCGCTCGGTTCTCCCCCTCGATCGTTTAGTCCCCGCGGCGGCTCCCCCGCGGAGGTCAGAGTGCAGCGAGCGGAGCTTCTATTTTTGAGCTCCAGGATTCGTTTCGTTCGGCAAGGGGGAGGGGGGGTGAGGCCAGCCGCCCCCCGCCCACCCCCTTAGTCGGTACAAACCCCGACAGCGTCCCCTCGTCCGGATCGACTCTCCGCTACGACACGTCTGTCCGGTTCCGGGGCGCCTCCCCAGCGCCGGCCGTCGCTAGCGCCACGCCGGGCCTCCGCCGCAGCCACAGCTCGGCGAGCTGGCGCCCGTCCGCGTAGGCGGAGGCACGCGAGCCCAGGCACATGCGCAGCTGGTGCGGCGGCAGCGCGGGGTCGCACGCCACCGGGTGGTGCACGTGCACCACGCCGGGCTCCTGGCTGCGGAAGGGGGCCAGCTTGGCGTGCAGCACGCGCGAGAACAGGTCCACGTCCTCCAGGCCCCAGCCGCGGATCGACGTGTCGAAGCCGCCCGCCGCCGCCAGGTCGCCGCGGTAGATGCACGTGATGCCGTAGCCGTACTCGCGCCAGAAACCGCCCCTGCGGCTCAGCGCGAAGTGGCCCGACGGGTCTCCCTCCGCCGCGGCCGGCGGCTCGCCGCCGGGCTCGCCGCGAGCGAAGCGTGGGTTGTACTCGCTGTACACGACGGGGAAGTAGGCCGACGCGCCCTGCACGGTGTTGGCACGGCAGCGGTGCAGGAAGTCGGCCGTGAACACGAGGTCCACGTCGCAGAAGAGCAGCAGCGTGTCGTTGGAGAAGAGCGACGCGCCCTCCTCGAGCGCCACGCCGCGCGAGAAGGGGCCCGGCATGCGCTGGATCTCCAACTCGGCCCGCGGATGGCGCCGCTGGTACCGGCGCAGGACGTCCCGGTGGCTCTCGGACGTCCCGGCCGAGCTGGCCGCCGCCCCGGATGCCGCCTCGGCCGCCGCCGCGGCCGGCGAGGGCCCCGTGCGCGGCTGTTCGTCGAAGAGGAGCACGAGCAGCTTGACGTTCTGGCCCGAGCGCAGGCACGTGTGCTCGAAGCTGTCCATGAAGCGCTTGAAGATCCCGAGGCGTCCCATGAGCGGCACCAGCACGTGAACTTTGCCCTCGGCCTGCCAGGGCCCGGCGGCCTCTCCGTCTCCGCCGTCACCGCCGTCGCCCCCGTTACCGCCGCCCCCTTTCCCGCCACCGCGGTTGAATACCCGAAACGGCACGAACATCTTGAGCGGGTTTGAAAAGATGGAGAGGGAACCTCGGATCAAGGCGCCGCCTTTTCTGTTGGCTGAGCGGTCGACGCTGAGCGCGAGCGCCTCGGGGTCGCGGATTTCCTCGGCCTCGTGGGACTCGGCGCGTAAGAAGCTCTGCTGGAGGTAGGCGTGGCGCCGCACGGGCACCGTCATCTTCTTGCCGGCGTACTTCTTGTAGAGCAGCAGCAGATCGAGCACGTACTCGGCGCCGGACACGGGGTTGACGCGGGAGTAGCCGTACTGCAGCTCCTTGTAGTCGATGACACGCCCGCGCGCGTGCGAGTTGGCGTTGATCATCTCCATCACCTGGGGTTGGGGGGTCAGGGTTGGGGTGGGGTCCGAGGGGTCACGGTGGGGATTGGAGGAGAAGATCAAGATTAAGATCGAGATATCATCGCCGAAGCCGTTGAAACCACCGCACCTCCTAGCGTTCTCCTCCACCGCCAGATCTTGAGACTGCTGCTGTACGGCAGACATGCGACATCCAAGAAGATTGGGTTGATGATGATCTGGCTTTGTTGGTGCACGCCTATGATTCAGCGGTTGATGGATCGCGTATATTAGTGAAACTACCAAACTTGTTTGATTGACAGGTAAACATGAGATGTCTATGCAGTACAGCAAGTTGGTGTCGTATCCCTGGCTATGCAGAGCTTTGAGCATCGTTCCTGTCTGTGCGTGACGGGGTCTTTATCGGTACTGAAGCAGGACCTTCCTGCAAAACGGTGATGTTTTTCTGAGTAAAACAAACAAAACAGATTATTATTTTGATGTTGATGGATGATGGCCCGAGTAGACAAAGAGGACAAAATGTCGACACAAACAAAAGTTGAGTAATTGGCACATCTTCCCGGCACAGGAATTCTAGTTGTACTTTTTCCCAAAAAAAGTCACACCGTGTGCTGTAAACACAAAGCCGGAGTAATTTCCCCAGAAACGTCACTGTGGGCAGGGGGAGTGGCGCCTGGCACCCTCGTCCACAGGCCCCGCTCCGATCCCCGCGTCGCCAAAACGCCGGGGTCAACGACGACCGCCAGGGTCTTATGGCCACCGGCCTTCCGGCCCCCTCATCCCCCCTGCCCCTCCCCCCCCTCGTCACGGGCGAGCACTCACGCACGACCGCACGCACCCTCATGATGATGTCGTCGAGCGCCAGCCTCATGGCCATGCCGAGGGAGCGGCGCGGCGGAGCCCCGTCCGCCGCGCTGTGCTGCAGGCGGCCCGTCAGGAAGTCCCACTCGAGCACCTGGTCGCGCGAGAGCGGCGCGAAGCGCATGAACGTGGGCGGCGCGCCAAGCCGCTGGTCCTCGCGGCGCGGCGGCTCCGCCGCGCCGACGGCGCCGCCGGCGGCCTCGCTCGCCGCCAACTTCGCGGCCAGCGCCGCGTCGCGGTGCAGCTGCAGCGTGCGCTGGCGCAGCTCGGAGATGCGCAGCGCCAGCAGCTGCGAGTGCAGCCGGTGCTGGTAGGCGGGCTGCTTGTTGGGGTGCAGCGTGATGGCGGCGCGCATCTTGCTCTTGTGCAGGTCGTGGATGTAGCCCTTGTGGTGGTGCTCGTAGTTCTCGTAGAACAGCTGCTGCATCTGTGGGGGGCCGGGGGGGGGGCAGACAGGCAGATAGCGGGGGGGGGGGGTCAGATGCTGTGCGAGCTGACGCCGGCGAGCCGCGAGTGGGCTTGTGCAGGTGGCGCCGTGTGCCGATACCGGATTCTGCGGTTTATTAGAATCGTAATCTTTATTTAGACTGGAGGAATCGCTCCGGAGAGTAAGACGCAACCCCGAACCGATGCCTGGTGTCAATAGTTTATACATTTACCGAATCTGCTCACATAATCCGCAGAATATGGTGCCGTGTAATGGACTGAGTGGGAACGATGCTACTAAAGATCATAGCAAATGTCATCTGTTAGTTATTTATCCAGGAAAGTCTCAGAAGGAGGAACCTACGTTGGCCAATTATATTAATGAGGGTTTGGCACATGGGGCGAAACGTGAGGAGGAGGAAATCCCCAAGATTTTCTATCTTAATTGAAATCAGCGATGTGTACGTCGCGTGGGAAACATGCGTACACACCTACACACACACCCACGCACTAAGACAAAGAACACACACGCACGCGAGACCTCCACACAGCCTGCAGAGACAACAATCAAAAGAGCCGCACTGCCGAGCTGATCAAGCCAACTTGCTGTACTGCCATCTCCTAATTACCTCGAAGCTAAGCAGCTTTACGAGTTTTGCAATTCTCCGCACGCCCCGCCGAACCCTCGGCTACTACCACCGGGCCCCGGCTGCTCAGAAACGCATTTGGACAACGGGGCAGATGCGCACCATCCTCTCGGCCTGGCACAGGGCACCTTGGCCGCTCGACCGAGGCGGTTTTGCCAAACGGCGTACCGAGAGGGAAACCGGTGGCAGCCCGGCTAAACGAGCGAGCGGACGGGCAGGCGTGCAAGCGGCGCAACCGTGCGGGGCCCCCAGGCTCTGGGCTAGGGAGAGGCGGCGGGGTAGGGGGCCCCGTGCCCACCCACGCTGCCACGGCATGCGCCACCGCGGCCGCACTCATTTAGATTCGCCAATGACGCAGTTTACAAATGCAGGTATCGGACGTCGCGTGTCAATTCCTGCAACGCGCAAAACGTGCTTATTTATTCGCTTTGCAGGTTCGCGCCGCTCGGACGGCCGTGCGTCGACAGCGGCGCAGCGAGCGCTCGACGCACCCCGCTCGCTTTGAATCCGCGGCGTCGCGGAAGGGGGGCTGGGCGGGGCAGGGGGGGGTAGGGTCCCGCCGTTGCGCCTCGGGGTTATTTTTTATCATCAGAAATTAAATTAATTTCCTGCTGTGCCGCTTCCATTTCAGAAAATCCTGATGTACTCCCCACCCCCCAACCAAATATGAACGCGAGGTAGTGGGGCGAGGTGCTTCATACCAAGCAGGTGGCTCACTGTGGGTGAGAAGGGAACATCCCCCCCCTCCCCACACCTTCACCAAAGGCTTTGGTTCCAGGATAATGTCGACGGCGGCGCGTGACGGATAGAATCCGTTATTTTACATTTGTATAAGCTGCATGGAATTCGTTCACGTGACCCCGGCGCAGCCACCAGAGGCGCTATACTCACACCGCAAGGTTAAACTTGACGCTTGAATCCCGATCCGATTCGCGATGTCGCCCCGAATCCCCCTGGTGCAAGGGCGTTGAGTCTATCGCCGACAGACTTCGAAGAGTTGGCAGAAGGCGATGGACGGCATTGCCACGGCCACTAGGCTGGTCCCCATCTATCGCTTGTGGAATATCCACGATCCCGAGACAGGGGTCAGTATATCCGCAGGATATTTGGGGTTGCCACCTGTGTGGGTTTGATCCGGACAGACTAGGAATTGGCATCTGGGTTTGAGTGGCAGAAATGGATTTGTACCAACATCTGTTGGTCACTAGGAGTGTACCGAGTCTTATTTGCAGTAAACTGCACAGTTTTGATCATTGACCAAGGCTGACTGAAAATCAAACTGTCTGGTCTGGCCTGTGGATGCAAGTGGCGGCCGTACAATTGCGGCGTCGCGTTCCCGTTGCGCCAGGCAATGGGGTGAGTCCCGCAACTGTACAGCCGGCAAGTTGGCCTCGGTCTCCGTCTTTGAGAAATCACTCACGGAGGGGGGCGGGGGGGGCAGTGACCAGCGAGGCCCGCTGGCACCAGATCAGCAGCTTGGTTTCATCGCATGTGTGATGACAGCCGATCCATCAGTGGGCATTTTGGCCGAAACTCATGAGGTCGGGTGAGAGAAAGGGAAACAAAAAGGCCCGAGACTGCCACGCAGCCAAAGCATTCGGTGGTTCTGGTTGAGATGGGAGTTAATATTGTGTGTAGAACATGTTTCCGTGAAAGACGATTTTGGTGAAATGGTTGCCAATGTTTAGTTAAACTGCGCATTGTCAGTTTAACGCCGTGCCAAGGAAGGCGCTGCTCGGCGTTTAGACTCTGCGTGTTGCTGTGAAACTGCGGAGTTATTCGGTGATTCCACTGCACCGCTGCAGAGCCTGGCTTCCAGTCGGGGTTAAGCTGCCTCTGATTAAAACCAAGTTCTCGAGTGCAGCGAGTTGATTGTGGAACATTGGTGGTTTCAACTCAGGTCACCGCTCAACGCCTCTCTCGTGTTCGAGCGATCAAATGGGATGGCTGTCATCTCTGTTAGCGGACCCTGAAGCCAGTGGTGGGTCTGTACCATAATTGAAGAATAAAAAATTGTCTGTATTGCATTTACTCGGTTTGACGCTCAAAATGCGATGAGTGCTCTTGGCGGAACAAAGGAGAACGCCTCGTGTCTCACAGCAGTCACGTTCGAGCCACTTCAGAGCTGATGCAATTCCCCGTGATCATTCCCCGGCGCCTTGCAACGTTATGCCACACGATTTAGGGAGTTTCCAGCGGACGTTCCTCCTTCTTTTCCTTACAGCACAGTCGGCATACCGGGACAAGTCTGGCGTGCCAACTCCGTAGCATTCAGCAGGGACAGCGCTGAGGAATCGGGGCAGGCAACGTCGCAAGCTGCGGTTCGTTAAGCGCCCGTCCTCGTGTTCATCCGCGCACTCGTCCACGTGCTCGCGTGTGAACTACGGCGCTCCGGCGAGAAGGGTGCCCTAAAACCGTCAGAGTCTGATGTGAGAGAGAGGGCAAGGAAAGCTCGTGTAATTCCCTGCTGCCCCCACCACCTTCAAAGCCCCGGGGGAACACTGGGCCACGCGTGGCGGCGGGAAGCGTGTTTCCGCTACTGTTGCTCCGCGGCGCCGCTGGGGCGGAGTCGCGACGAGCCTCGCGTCGCGCTCACCGAGGGGAGCGGCTCGTTAATGGGCGAGCTCGTTATTGAAATCCCGTCGACAAAATAACAAAAAAACGGGGGCGCGGGAGAAGCGGGGAATGTGAAATGCATGACCACAGCGGGCGGTGTTGAGGCTGATGTTGGTCACAAATGAAGGCTGGATTTCAAATGTCTGGATTCCTGACAAAACCGCATACCAGCTCTCCGGGAAGCAACATAATTATCGGAAACCATAAAAAACATTCAATAGTTTCTGTACACACACACACACGCAAACATCCTAATGTTCCACGCCATAAAGACCTCACCGCTATTGTCATGAACATTGGCTCATAACAGAGAAAAGCATTAGTGTTAATGTTTTGCCTCTTCCACTCTCACTTTCCAAAAGTTCCAGTGCCTAAAGTGTTCATGTAATGTGCGTTATTATCCTGTTACAGGGCACCAGTAATGGTGGTGGTGGTGGTGGCGAGATGCCTCTTGGCCTGTGGGTTCCCACCGCTGCTAACGCATTCCCTGAAGCTCTGCCTCATCTTCCAGGGCCATTAGTTCTCCAGTGTTGCTATTAGTTCAAGTAAAACAGAAATAATAAAAAAATAATCATCACCACTAAGACGATGTGCTGTCTCCAGAGCCGTGCTGACAGGACAAGGCGTGGACGGAGAGAGAACGGACAGGACGAGGCGTGGACGGAGAGAGAACGCCCCGCAGTTTAGGGAACGACTTGCGCAACATCAAACTCGCCTCTCTCCGTCCTCGCGGGCCGCGGCGCGACTACCGCTTCGGCGCGCGGTGCTGTCGCAGGGGGGAGGACGCGACCGAGGTTTGTGCCGCAGTTTTGCGTTTGAAGCGACGCGCAAACGCGTACAGAAAGCACCCGGGGCCCTTCGTGCGTGATGCAGTTCCCCGAAAAACTGCATCACGGTCTTCTTTTGTTAGGGTACCATCGAATACATTTGAGTGAACGTGATTGACTGGCGGTTTGTACAGTGATCGTGCCGAGCTAAGAGCGGTCGTCTATCCTGCTCAGCGCTCGCTCTGCGTGCGAAGCACTCGAGTCGCGTTCGGGAGGCCAGGCCTCGGCACAGAACGAGCAACTTCCAACGCGGACGTCCACCAGGCTGAGGTAGGCTGCTTGCCGTGCGGCTCACCATGTGGCTCACTGTGGCTCTTGCCTCACTGCTGCCTCGTGGTTCTGTGTGGCTTACTGTGTAACTTGTGGTTCGATTTGAGGTCACGGTGGCTGTGTGGCTCATAATGGCTCACTGTGTGGCTCACTGCATGCTTCATGGCAGCAGGTGGCTACGATGCAGCAGCAGGAGCAAATGTTCTCAGCTTCTAAGGAAACGCGCGTGAAAAAACGCATCAACGAAACTACCTATTGGCAAGGTCTGGCCTTGGTCCCACAAAAATAATAATGCTAATATTAGTTGTTAGCGGCAGCTCCGTTTTAAAGATAACTCCACCGCTCGCTTTCGAAAAAAATTCCATAAAGATTTGCAGACTCACGATACACCGAAGAAAATCCATTTAAATAAAAATAAACCCAGTGAGTTACCACGGTACATTTTCAGCCGATATAATGGGCTTGTAAATTTCATGACACATGCTGGAGCTCCGTGGGAGGAAAAAAAATAAGAAGCGTGGAGCCTTATTTAAAACAGAACGCTTTATTACCCCACTCCGTGCAGCCCTCAATTCCCTCGCCTCCCAACACCGCCTCTGCAAAATGGGGCCACAATTTGTCCGACTGCCAGGAGGTCAAAC